TCCCAAGACAGACCCCTATGGGATGCTGCTCATTACCAGCCTCCAGCTGGACATGGAGCCATTTATGACCACCCTTGCCTGCGGCCTTTCAACCAGTTTCTTATTCATCAAGTGGTCCACCCATCAAATCCACATCCCTCCATTAAAGATAAGATTGTGATAGGGGACCATATCAAAGGCCTTGTTCAAGTCCAGTAAATGACATTGGTTGCCTTTCTCTTGTCCACCAATGCTGTCACTCCATCATAGAAGGCCACCTTCTCTTGGTGAAGCCGTGCTGGTTGTCTTGGATCACACGCTTGTTCCTCATGTGATCAAGCATGTCATCCAGGATGATCTGTTCCATCATCTTCCCAGGCACAGAGGTGAGACTCACCAGCCTATAGTTCCCCATGTCCTCCTTGCTCCCTTTCTTATAAATGGAAATGACATGACCCTTCCTCCAGTCATTCAGGACCTCACTTGACAGCCACGACTTTTTAAATATGATGGAGAGTGGCTCAGTAACCACCTTAGCCAGCTCCTTCAGAACCCTGGGATGCACACCATCCAGCCCCATAGACTTGTACACATTCAGTCTAATAAGGCTGCCTCAAACTTGCTCTGCCCTTATAGTGGGGGGATTTACTGACCTGGTCCCCACCTAGAGGTTTAGGGATGCAGGGCTCAGGGATGTGAGAAATACTGGAATCCTGGCCACCAGTGAAGACTGAGGCAAAGAACTCATTCAGTACCTCAGCCTTCTCTTCAGCCAGTTCTGCTTTTACATTTACCAAAGGAGGTACATTTGTATTGGCCGGTCTCTTCTGGACAATGTACCTGTAGAAAGTCTTCCTATTGTTTTTCACATCCCTCACCAAATTCAGTTCTGCCTGCACCTTGGCTTTCCTGATCCCATGTCTGCAAGCCTGGATGGCATCCTTGTATTCTTCCCAGGTGACATGTCCTTGTTTCCAGAGTTTGTATGCATCTTTCTTTTCCCTCAGCACGCCCAGCAGATCCTTGCCGAGCCATGCCGGTTTCCTACCTCCTCTTCCCGCTTTCTTATTCAGAGCTCTTCAGAGATGGAGAGCTCTTGTGCTCTCAGATGGGCATCCTTGAAGGGTAGCTCTCCTCAACATCTTTGTCTTTAAGGACAGCATCTTAAGAGATCTTGGCCAACAATCCATTGAACAGCTTGAAGTTCGCTGTTCCAAAGTTCAGGGTCCTGAACCCACAAAGGGTCAAGAGTAGATACAAATATCCGAAGAAGAAAGTGTGCTCAGTGTTTCAGTAATTAATTTTTTAATTCAATTTATTTTCATGTGCTGAAATATTACCCAGAATTCTAGGAAATGTAGAAGAGGATTATGAGTGCAAGGACAGAACACTAATTGAATTCTAAATTGAAATGACTCATCTGAGCAATGCAATGACCTGGATTGCCTGCCTGAATGTAAAAAACTTCCCAAATGGTATCCTTACAAGAGTGCAGCACCAAAAGCTTAACTTTGGTACATCTATAAGAAATATTACATGTCAGAAAAAGGCTTCCTTGATGAGGGTCTCCATTTACAAACCTAAAACTTTTTTTTGTTAATTATAAGGCAACAGGGCATGGTCTTATTCATTTTGTCTCAGTCAAAATTGGTCACAAAAGGAACAAAGCTTAAAAGTACTTCAATCTACTGAACTTAACTGGTGATGGACCTTAAACAACAAAAACAAAGGCATGAGCTTTGTTCATCTTGACACTTACTTAGGAAGAAAGTTATAAATAGATGGTCTAATTAACACTTCTAAGAACAAAACATAAGGTGAGAATAGGAATCTCCAATTATACTGATTATGAGCGAAGTATCACATGAAATTTCACTCATTATGAAAACCAATTTCCTTTGTTTTGAATACTAGTGCTGTCTGTTGGCTGTTTTTTTTTTTTTTAAAGAGGATGTTTATTGTTGGCTTTTTTTCTATATTGATGCTGGATTTTTAATGCTTTCTACATCCTTATTCACTAGGAAACTCTTATAAGGATGGTCATAATTCATAATTGTTCATAAAAGTTCATAATTGAGCCATAAACACCTATTTGGCAGTGAAATTTGTAGAAGATTAAGCAAACAAATGAACAAAAATTCTTGATTTCTATAATTTTCAGGTGACAAAAGATAGGTATTTAACATGTTTTCACTGTATTTCACAATCATCTAACTTCCACTACCCATCCAATCTGGCATTTACACATATTAGCAAATTATGATTCACAAACAGAAGACACGCATAACACAGAAAAAATAGACTACTTCAGTAAGAGGACAGAATAACTTTCCAAAGATCTTCTCCTTTGCCTCTCTCAAATTTATTAATTTTTCAACCTGGACTAGGACAAAGCATTTAATACAGCCTGTACAACATTCTTTTCACTAAGCTGAAAAGACGTTGATTTCATGAATGGAACTGGCTGGATGGTCACATTTCAAATGCTGTGGTCAACAGCTCTATGTCCAGGTGGAGACCAGTGACTAGTGGTGCTCCTCCAGGGTCAGTACTGGGACAAGTGCTGTTTAACATCTCTGTCATTTACATGGACAGTGGGACTGAGTGCATCCTCAGTAAGTTTGCTAGCAACACTGAACTGTGTGCTGTGGTACCAATGCTGCAGGGAATGGATGCCATCAAGAGAGATCTAGACAAGCTTGAGAGCTCAGCTTTTGTGAGCCTCATAAAGTTCAACATGGCCAAGTGCAGGCTCCTGCATCTGGGTTGGAGCAGTTTCAAACATGAATACAAGCTGTGTAAGTACAGGCCTGCAACTATGTGGAAAAGGACGCGGGAGCACTGGTAGATGCAAAAGTTAGCTCGAGCCAGCAGTGAGCATTTGCAGCCCAGAAAGTCAAGCTTGTCCTGGTTCTAGAGACACTGGAGCCCTGAGCAATTATAGAATCATAGAATCATAGAATTTCTCAGGTTGGAAAAGACCTTCAAGATCATCAAGTCCAACCACGACCTAACCATACTACTCTAGCTCTAACAACCGATTGCTAAATCATGTCCTTGAGCACCATATCCAGAAAAGATTTTTAAACACATCCAGGGATGGTGACTCAACCACCTATCTGGGGAGCCTATTCCAGTGCTTAACAATCCTTTCTGTAAAGAATTTTTTTTTTCTGATATCCAACCTAAATCTCCCCTGGTACAACTTGAGGCCATTTCCCCTTCTCCTATCACCTGTTACCAGTGAGTAGAGACCAACCCTGCTGTCACCAGCAGCAGCAAGAACCTCAGCTAAGGATAATGCTGCACCTACAACAGAGCAATGCAAGATTCAGGCACAGATGGGACACAAGTGCTGAAGAGCAGTGCAGCAGGAAGGGACCTAGGGGTGTTGGTGCCCACAGGTAAGCATAAGCCAGAAGTATGCTCTGGCAGCCACGGGGCAAACTGCATTTTGGGATGCATTAACACAGCACAACCAGACTGGCAAAACAAGAGATTCTCATGCTGTATTTAGCATTGATGCAGCCCAATCTAAATACTGTGTACAATATAAGAGTGTTAAGATCCTTGAATGTGTCCAGAGGAGGGAACACAGTTGACAGAGGGTTGGAAGGCATGTCCTGTAAGAAGAGAATGAGGGTAGTTGGGTGGTCCAGTCTGGAGAAGAGGAGGTGGAGAGATGACTTCACTGCTCCCTGCAGCATCCTGAGGAGGGGAAGCAGAGGGAGGTGCCGAGCTCTGCTGCTGGACACTGATGGCATGATGCACAAAGTTGCTGGAGGAGTTTTAGACTGGGCACTGGGAAAATTTTTATACTGTGAAGTTGGTCAAATAATGGATTAGGCTTCCTAGCAAGGTGGTTGATGCCCCACCTAACTCAGGACATTCTGTTTTTATTAATATGATTTGAATTTTTGGATGATCCTGTGTGGAGCAACAAGTTGGACTTAATGATCCTTGTGAATTCCCTCTAACTCAGAATATATTCTGTAATTCTATCCTATTCTATCGTGAAAGAAATGTAGCTAGCTGGTAAAGGGGAGTGATCTTCTCTCCCTAGTCCATGCTCATGAAACTCCATCTGGAATACTGCGCTCAGCTCTGGGTTCTCCAGCAGAAGGGAGACATGGAACACATTAATAATGTTTCCAGAAGAGTGCCACAAAAGATGATCAGAGAGCTGAAGCACCACCCCTTTGAAGACAGGCTGAGGGAACTGAGGGTGAAGAAGAGAAAGGTCAGGGTAGATGTTGTTGTGATCTTTCAGTATTTAAAGGGAGCCTACAGGAAAGATGAGGAGGGACTCTTTATCAAGTATTGTAGTTGATAAGAGAAAGGGTAATAGTTTTAAACTAAAAGAGGGTAGATATAGATTAGTTAAAAGGAAGAAATTTTTTTCACTACGAGAGTTGTGAGGTGCTGGAACAAGTTGTCAGAAAAGTTGTGCATGCTCATCCCTGCAGGTTTTCAAGAATAGGCTGGATGGGATCCTGGGCAACCTAGTCTAGTGGAAGGTATTCCTGCCCATGGCAGTGGGCTGGAATGGTTTGTAGGCCCTTTCCAACCCAAACCATTCTGTGACTCTATGACAAGTAGTAAATCTTATATCTAAAAACTTACAAATACCTACTCTAAATAAATGGGGGGGGAAAAAAAAAAGAAACAAAAAAGAATATTTTGAAGCAGAAATAGAGTTTGTATAGCTTGACTTGAAAAAATCTTAATAACCAAGATATCACAGTTCTCTTTAGTGTTGTGAAAATCAGTACTGGTTTCCTTCAGTATTCTGTCAAAGTTAGTACAGTGCATAAGCACATCAAGTACATTTTCAAGATAAGCTTTCAAAATACTGCAGAAACAAGTAAAGCATAAATAATGAAATAATTATCTAAATATCCATGACATCAGTAACACAACTGATTATTCTCTTTGAATTTTAAACATTTCTTGTGGCTGGAAATATGTTAACACAATTATAGCCCAAAACATATGCTAAAAGAATTTCATAATGTACTTACATATCACTGGCAATAGAGGAGTTTCTCGACATAGACTTCGGAGAAAGATCATAGTCACTGTCTGACCGGTAAAGGAAAGACTCCCTACGTTGACTGTGGACAAAATTTGCCTGAAGAATTAGTCCTGATCCAGGGCTCGTCATGGGATCCAAGGGACTTCGTCCCGATGACGTACCATTGTCCACATCGAAACTGTAAAAAGAAAGAAAAAAAAGATTTGTGCCATAGGCATAAGAGTTTTGAAAGTAATGAACACTCTCCTGGCACATTTATCAGTAGGCAGATTTTCTTCTCGTTAATTGGAGAAATCATGATCTGGTCAATTTCACTGCTAATGCAAAAACAAGGTACATAAGAAATACAGTGTACAATGGCTGATAATCAAAAAATAAATCTGAAGGAAACTAAACTTGGTAGTGGAAAAAAACAAACCACTATTAGGAATACAGGAACCTATGTGCTTCTCTGTATGCTGATTGCTTATGAGCTCTCTGCATCAGGAACATGACACAGTTCTCTTCTTAAGGCCCCATCTCTCCTGAGGTTGACCCTCATTACTCCAATTCCTAGTGGAGTGAGGCAGGTGTTCTTTTTGTTATGGAGTACCCATTCCTCATACTTCATTACTACTCAAGTACTTCAAGAATGTATTTTGTCTCTTCTCAATAAATCAAGCATGAATAATGTGTATTTGCACGCACTAGAGGGAGATAGTATTTTGAAATTGGAATGAATGAATGAGCTCTGTGATCACTGCCAAACAGAATGACTACTGCGGCCATTCTTGTCTTACATCTTTGAACTCTGCAGTTTCAATCTAGTACTTCTAGTTATTGTTTGGTAGTTCCGAAAGAGCACTGCTGTCATGAGAGACACACAAAAAAAGACAGAGACAGCTCCGCAAAGGGCTCTGAAAATCAGTACAAAGACCTTGAATGGGACTCAATTAATTAGAAACCAGAGCAGGGTAAGCAGCGCTGGGTGATGCATTCATGGCAACCCGTGCTGTTTAGCAGTGTGATAGCTGTATTTGGTACCAGACAAGAGTCTTTTTGGATTATGTAGCTTAGTTTCTAGATTTCATGTTGTTGCAGTATGGACTCTTGGAAGTCATGAATGACTGATTAGCAACATTTTGTCTGCATATGTTAAGCAGACACATTGGAATGTGTTGGAGCACATTCCAATAGGCCAGAAGTAGAAGGACATCTGTTTCTCTTGATTGCATCTCTAAAACTGAAGATAAATTTTAGTTCTAAAGCATGTGAGAAAAGGTGTGTATGACCTTGGTTTACAAATACTAAGCATAGTAACAGGAACTCAAGTAATGCTGTTAAAGCACACAGGAATGATTCATGAACAAAAGGACCTATCACATAACTTTTTAAGTGTCAGTAAGCTTTAGAATCTAACAAACAATTCTAAAAATAGATCTTTTGAAAAGAGTGTTCACATGAAGTATAACCCACTGTTTTCAATCATGTCTGAGGGCATTTGAAGAGAAAATAGTTGGTACATATCAGCTCTTGATTGGACTTCAGCCTGGCACATGTCACAGCAGGTACAAGCTACTCTCTGCACTAGCTTGCTTCTTGCTGTTATCTACCACTGACCTGAGGCTGCCTTGTCAGCAGTGGTAATATTTCACTGAAGTGACAGAACTCCTCCAGCCTTTTTGCATGCTGAATTAACTAATCAAATAAATCTACACTGCCTATATATTGCCTCAGAAAGCAATTTTATTTTTGTTCAAAAAAGTTATTAAGAAAGAGCTATTAACAGGCATTAAACAGGTACTTTTCAGGTAGCAAAGTAATCAAAGTGTAGAATAAATCAGGCATAAAAAAAACTCTAATAGACCAATACAGGTTATAAATACAGATTATTAAACAAATCAACTTCAACAGATGTTTCCAAAACAATTCACTAGCAGTTAATACTAAGACATATACGTTTTCCCAAATTTGGGAAATTCTTTTAATTATGTCAGAGTACTTCTGTGTCTTCTAATACACTCTCATTACATAACATTATTGATTTCAAACTAAAAAAAAAACATAATCTGCATGACAGTGAATGAGAGTTCTGCCACCACTTTGCTGAATGATTCTGGACAAAGCAAAGCTCCTTTCTTTGTTTCATTTTCCCTGCTTTTGATCACTGTGAGATCTGCTCCCCCATTCCCCCCAAAAAAGTGAAAAAATATTTCAAAGGGCAAGTCAGTATGAATACTACTGTGACTGTTGTTAGATAAGATGAATGTACAAGATAGTATGAATGGTGAAACAGTAACAAAAAGAAATAAAAAATAAAATAACAAAAAGAAATATGATATCCTTGCAGCTTATGTGACCATACATTAATGTCCATATTACCATTACCACTAGTCTGACTACACTACTCACTAGTAATACTAACATTGATAGATACTGATAAAGACATCGATAAAGATACTGATTTCTTTTGATTTCCTGAGTATTTCAAGAGCAGAAAAAAATACAGTGCCAGTTAAGGTTTTGGAACATTTAAGAACTCAAAATCATGACACTTACTTAATTGCCAAAATAATAACATTATTTTCTTCAAACAGATGCAAAGAAACACAAACTCCTAAACAAAAACAGTCTGCATATTTTTTTCTGCTAAGGACAAAATGGTAGACATTGCATGCAGTTTTATATAAAAAAGAAGGTGGTTATTTACTCCTGTGCTTAGCAAGACTAATTTCTGAAAGACAATATTATTTCAAATATACATATATATAGCTTGTAGAAAACCTGAAATAAAAGCTTTAGGGTGGTATAAATGAAGATAAACATGACTCTGACTCAGCAGGAAAATGCTAAAAAAAGGAATGTCTATTAAATTAATTTTCTTCATGGTGGACTTAATTATTCAAACACATAAGTGGTCGGATTTCACTGGATTATAGTAACATGCAGTTTTATTTGCAGATTTGGTTTTCATCCACCTTTTGTGACACAATATGAATATTCCCTTATTAATTTTATTTTTTTTCAGTCAGAAACTAAGGCCAAGCTTCCATGAATGACTTCACTGTCAGGTTATTAAATATTGACCATAAAAAGATGAGAAGTCAATTCTATAAAATCAGAGTTCGTTGGCATTGAGAGGCCCCACTGCTTGCCCCACCAGCTAACTGCATATGCAAGATGTGCACATAGCTGTTGTGGTAGGAATTTTGTGATACTCTATTGTGTCCACTAGATGGGTGTCAAAAGTAAAGAAATGGATCCAGATATATTAGCTAGGATCTGGCTCAAGGAAGATATCTTTTACGTAAATACCGACAATGAAAAGAAACATTCCATGCTACAGCAAAAGAATGAATGTGAATATAGCACTGGTGTGCCAAAAATGTGTCTGTATAAAAAGTTTCCAAAATGCTACTGTAGTTAAGTGTCTTTAACTTACTGAGGTGTGCTAGCACTTTTGGACATAAAAGGTTATAGAAATCTAAATGAAAAATGCTTTAGTAAGTTGAAAATAAAGTGTTCCCTTCTCTGAATCTTGAGTCTCTTTTGCAAGAAATGGAGACACTTGCATCAAGTTAAGAGAGAATCAGAATGGGGAACTCAAGACTTTGAGAACGAGTTGTTTTCTTTCTATATGCACCTAAAAAAAGATAAAAAAAAGACTAAGATACAGAATGGGACAGACTCTCTAGTTTGCCTGGGCAGAAATTGCAGAAAGTTGAATGTGGTTGCTTCATATTTATTTTTCCATTCCTGTAAAATTTTAAACTGCAGTGAGAGTATGTTGTGAATGAAAAAACAACCAGTGATAAACCAAATGTTTTTCTTTTGTTAGTTATCCTCTGCCTCCTTGCACTTTTTGGTAGAGGAGGCTCTTAAAAAAGGAAGGAGCCTGGAAGTTGTTAACGAGGGTCCTAGAACTGTTGTGCTACCTTTTCACCAACCCATAATATGCCCATTCAAAGATATCATGGATCTGCAGACAGCGCCAGGCACTCTGCATGACTTATGTAAAGCTGAGCTGCAGTTTTCTGACAGGAGCATCTAGCACAGAACCCTCACAGGAATTTCTGTGTTCAAAGAGCTTTCCTGCTCTGTAATTGCAGAGATGTAAAAGCTACTAAAAACAATGCTAATTCAACAAGTTCCACATGCACATTTTGACTAAATCTGTTATGACGTTACTGAATACTCAAAAGCCCGTCTTATCCAGTGTTCAGTGACAGCAAACATGGCATTAAATGGAAGATCAGTCTTTTTTCCTTTTTTGGCTATTCACTGTGTTTGCACATCTTTCCCACCACATATTGTCCAGGTTCTGTAGAGAGAAGGGGATAAAGGTGATGAACTCTCTTCAGCGACTTGTAAACTTTCATGGCTGACTTCCCATGCTCCTAATAGGACAAGAAGTGCTAACATCACAAGCTATCTTCAGGGAGATTGATGACTGATGATTTGCTTCAGACATACTGGGAGTCTGTGGACAGGTTCAAGATCATATATCTCAGCAGCACTGCTTCAGTGTGAGCAACTGCACAACTTCCTCACACTGTGAGGAATCCCTCAAAGAATCCCTCCACAGACTTTCTTCTAAATTCTTGAGTAACTTCTCTGCTAGTCCCTGCAAGTTGCTAAAATGAAGGAAGGAGAAAACTTACATACAAAATTTTATTCACCATTACATAAGGAGTAATAGCATCATATTGAATATGTACAAGATGGATGAAAAGGATGAAAAGAAAATCTTAATATTGCTCTTACCTACTACTGAGAGCTTAGCAACTTTATTTCTTTACTTTTTGACTTCTCTTTTGTTTGTTTTTGTAGAGAAGTTAGCAATAGTAAAAGAAAAACTCCACTTTTTAAGAAATTAAGTATTTAGGAGACTTGTATGAGTATCAATTGAATTCCTGCTGTTCCCCTAGTAAGTGAGATATTCTTAGTACATTCAGCCTCTCCTGCCTTGGAAGCTATGGGGAGGAAGAGAAATTAGCTGATCCTACAGGGACACCTTATCTTTTAAGGCCATCTTTAACATTATAGGATGAAGCAAGACCTGAACAAGTTGAATTTGTCTCCTGTTATGGGACCCCTTTGTCCTAGTGCTAAGCAATCTTTCCAACCTTTTACCTGCCCAGTTATCTATATACTCATCTCAATGTCTAGAATTCCTATCTTGTCCAGTATTTCCACGGG